TGGAACACCCCTCCAAATCATTGGATTCAAATGGCCACAGGTGTATATAATCAAACACCTAGGCATACAGACTGCTTCTACAAACATTTGTGAATTATTATTATTCAGGATTTATATAGCACAGACAGTTTTCTTAGCAGTTTACAATATAAAGGGAGACAATACAGCAAGGATAGAGTTTAATACATTAGGGTTAGCAGGGCCCTGCTCCTTAGAGTGACCCATTCTTTCACAAATCTTTTAGACTGTAAGCTCTAAGGAGCTCAGTGAATTCAAATCAGGCGTGGTATCGTGATAAGTTGCCACCTGTGCAATAAGTCCATCTGTGACATTTCCTGGCTACTAAATATTCCACGCTCAACTGTTAGTGGGATTATAAGTGGAAGCAACGCAGGGGCGGACTGACCATTTGGAAACTCAGGCACTGCCCCAGGGCCCAAGGTCAGTAGGGGGCCCCATGAGATGCCCCTGGTACCTTTTTCATAGGCTTTTTTGAGTTTTGGGCAAGGACACAGGGGCCCCGTGATCCCCTATTCCCTCGGGGGGGGGGGGGTCAATGAGTTGTCAGTCCACCCCTGAGCAACTGGGAACAACAGTGACTCAGCCACCAAATGGTAGGCCACCTAAAATGACAGAGCTGGGTCAGCACATGCTGAAGCACACAGTGCGTAGAAGTCACCAACTGTCTGCACAGTCAATCGGTAAGGACCTCCAAAATTTTTGTGGCCTTCAGATTTCGCAACAACAGAGACGTCTCTGAGTTTGGAAGTTGCCAGGAGTACGGTACTTGCCTGACTGTATTGTGTCAAGTTTAATGTTTGGTGGAGTGGGGATTATGGTGGGGGTTGTTTTTAAGGGGTTGGGCTTGGCCCCCTAGTCCCAGTGAAGGAAACTTTTAAGGCGTTGGCATACCAAGACATTTTGGACAATTTCATGCAGCTGCAGGCATCATCCTGGTATAACCATTCAAAGTCCAGTGATGTACCAGTACGTCTCTGGTCCAAGATTGTACAAATGTCTAAATAGTGGCACGCTTGAATAAATATTTTCCATGTGTAAGTGGTACCCCATATGAAAAAATTATGACACCAAGTCCCAAACTATCTTGCCACTGCTCTCCATTTAGTCTGGGCATTCGGGGGGCTCCACGTGATTTTTTCCCTCTTAAATCCAAAACTTATATGTATAGCCTGTTGCCCTCTCACAGGTCTTCTACATCTTGAGCCCTTATCTGGCACGCTTTCTGGGGAAAAATTGTTTGAATGCAAGGCGGCCAGAAAAATTAACGAGGACTCATAAACGCAGATGTTTTGCTGGGGAGTATAGACATCTGCAAATTTTTGGTTAAGATGATTCACAAGTTATTTCTACTATAGGATGGCGTAGAAGGAGTTCAACATGTCCAGTAAAATAAATAAATACAAATAAAATTTTGTCATAAATTTAGTCTAAAATGTATTCTGCTCCATGTCTTTTCCAAAAAAAATCCTAATACATGTAAAAGAATTGGTTTATGGGAAAGTTATGGCGTTTACAAATGGCGGTATAGATAATGGAATTTTTTTGTTTTTGATTTAACAATAATGTCGACGATCAGCGACATATAGCGGTACTGCGGTGGACATTCTAAAACTGAGGGGGGGGGGGGGGGGGACTGACTTGGTGTCACTGACATCCCCAGTGACACCAATACAGTGATCAGTGCTAAAAAAACCCCACTGATACTGTACTAATGGCACTGGACAGGATGGGGTTAACATTTGGGGGCAATCAAAGGGTTAACTGTGTGCTGGGTCTTTTTTTTTTTTTTTTTCTAGAGAGTGGGGAGGGGGGGTGCTTCACTGTAAAGCACACTGCTCTAGATGGCTCTGCTCAGCCATCCAGTGAAGTGTGCCCAAGCTGACAGGGAGGAGGGATGTTGGTAAACAAAGCAGCCCTCCTCTCGGTCAGTGATCCTCGGCAATCAACATGTACTGGCAGGTAATCACCGGCCGGGAACAGGTGATTGACACCCGGGCTGCGATCAGCGGAGAGGGTAGGGCGGTCGCACGCCTCACACGCCCATCACCCGGAAATGCAAAAAAAGTATATTTACATAATTTTGTGCACCTGTACCGCCATGTAGCAGTATATCAGTTATATGGCAGTGGGTATTAAGACTTGTCAAAAACTGTTGTTTTGTATTCAATTAAAGATGCTAATGAGCCTGCCTGCCCGCAAACCCCCATAATCACCGGGCCAGGGTTGTGTGGAAGAGACCCTTGTCCCCCCCCCCCCGCCCAAAGCTGATGGCTCATGGCCTGGTAAGGTGCAGGGGAGGTCGCTCAATTCCCCCCCCCCCCCCCCCCCCCCCCCCTTTCCTGCCCTTCCAGGCCTGTGCTCGGATCAAGGGTCCAGTCGGAATTTAGGAGGGCTTTCACACGTTTTCCCCCATTTGTTATTTTTTTTTTTCATGGAGAGTATTCTCCCCTCTGTCTTTGGCTGTGTCAAGCAACACACTGCATAAGGCATACATGTGACACAGAGGAGCTGTGAAGCAGATGAGAACTGATATATTCAGAGGGCGTGAGTCTCCCAGGATTCTGGTGACAACCCAAAACTGGGCAAATTCCTTCACTTTCACTCTGCCTGATAACAGTAAACAGGGAGAAAAATGGGGAGAAGGGTTGTCTTGGTGTCTGTGAGATTTTATGTACAAAATGCAACACTAGCTGCAGGTACATCTGTGAAAAAATGCAACACTAGCTGGGGGGGGATGGGGGGGGGGGGGGAGTATGGATATCAAAGCAATTTCCAGGTAAAGCTTTTGATGGATTCTTTATTTTCTCCAATCAGTTTATTCCTCGCAGTTATTACCTTTTGTCCCACCAGCCCCTCTGTACTAGATTGTAAGCTCCCTGGAGCAGGCCCTCCTAACCCTCTTGTATTGAATTGTATTGTTGCTGTATTGTCTCCATTTATATTTTTTATAGCACTGCACAAAGTGTTGGCGCTATATAAATCCTGAAATATTAATAATAATAATAATAATAATAATAATCACCATCATCAAATAATATTAATAATATGATTTCCCTTCTTCTTGGACTGAGCAAAAGAGGGACACCCTGATCCACCACATGGCAGATAATATTAGGATTTCCAGCAAAGGTCTCATTACTGAAATGATCTCTGGGGGAATCGAATGTTGATAGATTGCAACAATGTATCCAGCAGAGAAGAAAAGTGAAACATATTTAAAGTAACAACAAAATCCTTCCCGTCTATGTGTGTAAAATATACTGACACCTAATGGGGGTGTTGAACATTGCAGCCAATCATCCCATCCCCCCAATATGCAGGTTAGTCCGTCCCGGATAGAGAGGAGCGGTGCTTTGTGGATAGAGAGGAGCGGTGCTCTGGGGGGGGGGGGGGGGGGGGGGGGGGGGGGGGGAGGAGCGTTGCATGTCAGCTGACATATTCATCAAAGGGGTGAAGTCTCCCAGGTGATGTATTGAACTCTTTATGGTCATATTCTGGTGACAACTCAACATTTGGCAATATTCCTTTACTTTCCCTCTACCTGATAACACTAAACAGGACAAAGACCGAAGATGGAGCGCAGAGAGCAGAAAAAACGCTGCAATCCTCTTCTTTTACGAAAAAGAAATTGTTTTTTTTGTCTGTTTTGTTTTTGTTTGTTTTGTGCGTGGTTTTTTTTTTTTTTTTTGTGTACATCACACAATTTGTACACTTTCCTGTTTGTCCTCAATGCCACATGAAAACAAAACATTCTTTTAGGTATGGGGGGGGGGGGGGGGGGTACATGTCTCCCTGTCACTTATAGGTCCCTAGGCCATGGCTTATCTGGGGAGGGGATTGTATCCGGATTAGAATCATTGTAACAAGTGAATCCTGTCGGCGATACTTTGTTGTTTTCAGGTCCATCGTTTGGTGTATTCCCTTCTTGTCGGTGCAATTCTTTCTCCTTGGACTGAGGAGAAGGGAACACCCTGGAGGCTTTTACATGTTAGTACAAAGAAAAGAAGTGTCAGGGTCAGTAGACATGTGTTGGTCTTAGAGGAACCCCACCGCTCATTCCCCCCCAAATAGCCGACATTTCCTCTCCACATTCCCCACATGATAGACAAGAATGGGATTTGCAGCAAACTTCCTATTCCTGAAATGATCTCTCAGGGAATCCAAATGTGATGGATTGACTTCCATCACTGAAAGCATCAAATCCTATTGTAGATCCGAGGATTCCGAGCAAACCTCCCCCTGAGCAGTCTATGGAGCTGTGGAGTGAAATGCGGCAATCAAGTCATTGGCAGGATTTGGCTCTCAATGTCCATTTGTGATGATGATCCAATAATGACCCCTAGGCCATGACACGTGACACCCTGTAATGGGCGGAGCCCTTTGTATCTGTCCCAATGTCTGCCATGACAGGACACAAGGATCTCCTGTGATCGGCCGATGTTTTTGTTCCCGGCTCCTTGTAGTCAGCTAGAGATGAGCCGAGTTGTGTATTAGAGGGAAATGTTTGGTGATCTCCCCTCTTCCCTCGTGTAATGTGAAGCGGATTGTAGTGGGGGATGGGAGCAGATTGTTTTGTGGGTAGAATGTGTCCCCCCCAAGCAGGTAGAAGGCAGAATGGGCCCCCCACTCCGGAGGATGGTTGTGTTTGCAGCCTCTGTGTTCAGCCTCGTGAGCAGCTCCTGACAGCTGGAAGTGACCCCCGATAAGTGACAGTCCAGGGAGCAGATCGGCTCCCCGGTGCACATCGGACATCGTTCTATTTCGGAATAAAATCGGTTTTTTATATCTAACGGGAAACACATGAAGGGAGAGAATATACTCCAACACTGGAATGACAGCCAGTGGGCGTGTGTGATGTGTAACCAATAGCAGGACAGAGTGGAGTTGTGTGACAACCAATCGCAGTGTTAGAAGGTCTGTATATAAGGCGGAGCGCCGTGTGATTTGTAATGAACTATTGTGGAAACATTTCCCGAGTCATGACGGAGACTGAGAGCGCCCCAGCCGCCGCTCCTCCAGCGGAGGCCGCCGCCAAGAAGAAGCCGGCTAAGAAGGCGTCAGCGGAGGAGGAGGAGCCAAGAAAGGCATCAAGAAGGCGTCCGGTCCCGCCGTGTCCGAGCTCCTCGTCCAAGCCGTGTCCGCTTCCAAGGAGCGCAGCGGGGTGTCCCTGGCCGCCCTGAAGAAGGTCCTGTCCGCCGGAGGATACGATGTGGACAAGAACAAGAGCCGCCTGAAGATCGCCCTCAAGGCGCTGGTGACTAAGGGGAGCCTCGTCCAGGTCAAAGGCCATGGGGCCTCCGGATCGTTCAAGATCAACAAGAAGCAGCCCGACGGCGCCAAGGCGAAGCCCAAGAAACTGGCTGCTAAGAAGGCTGCAAAGTCCCCCAAAAAGAAGGCGGCCAGAAAAACAACCACCGTAGCCAAGCCCCAAGAAGGCCGCCAAGTCCCCAAGAAGAAGGCGGCCAGCAAAGCCCCCACCGCAGCCAAGAGCCCCAAGAAGCCGGCCGCCAAGAGACCAGCAAAGGCTGCAGCCAAGAAGGTGACCAAGAGCCCCAAGAAGAGCAAAGCTGCAGCCAAGCCGAAAAAAGGCGCCAAGAGTCCCGCTAAGGCCAAGCCGGCAGCTAAGAAGGCGGCTAAGCCCAAGAAGGCCGCTCCGAAGAAGAAATAATGGGCGGCGACCTCCTTCATCTCCACCCCCCAAAGGCTCTTCTCAGAGCCCCCCACCTCCCCCCAACAGAGCTCTCCATACATACACCGACATCGCTGAGTGCTCCGCATGTCATCTGTTCCCGATTTAGAAGATCTGATAGAAATAAATCCAATTCCCAAACACTGCCCGAGAGATCTCTGGGGGGACTAAACATTCATATTTCCTCTTCTAGTCGATCATTTCAGGATTTCATGCGGCCATTCTGAACATTCTAAGGAGAATCCTTCCAATGATTGGGAGACACATCATCCTCTAGACGGGTTAGAATGATCAGCAACAAGCTGTGAGCTCAGTTTCGGATTGAGTTTGAGGAAGTGGAGTGACATCCATGCCAATGTCACTTAGTAGGTTAGTAATGCGAGAGGAGACTGAAGGGGTGAGGTGAGGGGTAGAAAGATAGATTTGTGTGTCATCAGCATAGAGATGGTACCTAAAACCATGGGAGTTTATCAAGTGACCAAGGGAGGAGGTTGTAGATGGAGAAGAGAAGGGGTCCAAGGACAGAACCTTGAGGGACCCCTACAGAAAGAGGAAGTGGAGAGGAGGAGCCAGAGTTATAGGTAATGCTAAAGGAGCGTTGCGATAGGAGAACCAGGAGAAATCAGAGTCCTTTGAGGAGGAGGGGGGGGATGGTCAAGTAGTAAGAGAACGGAATAGTGGCCCATTGGTTTTAGCAGTTAGTAGATCATTAGTGAGTTTTAGTAGGGCAGTTTCAGTGGAGTGAGCGAAAGCCAGACTAAAGGGTCAAGAAGGTTGTTGCCAGTCTACAATCGCCTGAGCTCCTTCCTCACTATTATTATTATTATACAGTATTTATAAAGCGCCAATAGTTCGCTCAGCGCTGTACATTACAAAGGGGGACAGAACATGTGAAAGAACAATGCAAAACATGAGGGGATTGAGGGCCCTGCTCTTTCGAGCTTACAATCTAGGAGGGAGGGGATAGTGGTACAGGAGGAGATTGCTGTCGGGGATGGAGTGGTAGGAAGAGTGGAGGAGGTTAGCAGGGGGTGGGGTAGGCTTCCCTGAAGAGATGGGTTTTCAGGGTGCTCCTAAAGGAGAGTAGGTGATAATCTGATGGGTTGGGGCAGGAAGTTCCAGAGGATGGGTGACACACTGGAGGAGGAGACCAGGGAACTAGAGAGGAGGTCTTGTGAGGAGCGGAGTGTGCGTGCTGGGTGGTACTTGGATATTAGGTCAGTGATGTAGTTCGGGGCAGTATGGTGGACAGCTTTGTAAGTCAGTGTAAGGATTTTGAATTAGATCCGTTGCGCAATCGGAAGCCAGTGGAGGGATTGGCAGAGGGGGGTGGCGGAGATGGAGCGGTTGGAAAAGTGAATGAGTCTGGCAGCCGTATTCAGGATCGACTGAAGCGGGGATAGCCAGCGGCGAGGCAGGCCAGTGAGGAGGGAGTTGCAGTGGATGAGCTGTTTAGTGGTTTCTGGGGTTAGGAACATGCATATTTTGGTGATGTTGCGGAGGTGGAGCCTGCACGAGTTTGTTAAAGATTGGACATGGGGCTGGAAGGATAGGTTGGAGTCCAGAATGACACCAAGTACTCTGCCTGCGAGGCGGGTTTGATGTGATGGAGAAGTCAGTGGGGGGTGGTGTCCGGGCTGGGGTGAAAGACAAGAAACTCGGTTTTGGAGAGGTTCAGTTTAAGGAAGTGGAGCGACGTCCAGTCTGATATGTCGCTCAGTAGGTGTGTGATTCGGGCAGAGACTGAGGGGGTGAGGTGGGGAGTTGAGAGATAGATTTATGTGTCGTCGGCATAGAGGTGGTAGTTGAAGCCATGAGAGTGTATGAGTTGGCCAAGGGAGGAGGTGTAGATGGAGAAGAGAAGGGGCCCGAGGACAGAGCCTTGAGGGGGAGGTGGTAGCATTATAGGTAATGCTGAAAGAGCGTTGTGACAGGTAGGATGAGAGCCAGGAGAGAGCAGAATCTCTGAGGCCGAGGGAGTGTAGTTTTTTGAGGAGGAGGGGGGGTGGTCGACTGTGTCGAAGGCCGCAGAGAGGTCAAGAAGTAGGAGCACTGAATAATGGACATTAGCTTTGGCGGTTAGCAGGTCGTTGGAGAGTTTGAGTACGGCAGTTTCGGTGGAGTGTAGGGGACGGAAGCCGGACTGTAGGGGATCGAGGAGGTCATTTAGGTGAGAGCTTAGGCGGGTGTAGACTCAGCACTCGAGGAGTTAGATGTAAATGGGAGCAGGGAAATGGGTCTGAGGTTGTTCGGGTCATTGGGGTCCACTAAGTGTTCTAAGAGTTTAGAGGAAATGGGTCTTAAGTTCAGGTTTCTAAGGTCCAGGGGGGCTTTTTAAGTATGGGAGTAAGGATGTGCCCATGCTTCAGAGGGATGGGGAAGGCACCGTTAGAGAGGAGATTGAGATTGAAGAAGAAGAGGGTGACCGTAGTAGTTGTGAGGGGACAGGATCCAGGGGGCAGGTAGTGAGACGGACTAATGAGAAAACTTTAGTGACCTCTACGGTAGTTCAAAAGTGGAGTGGAGGGAGGTTTAATATAAGGTATGTTAAGTGGGATGGATGTCTGTGTAGTGGAGACGCCCCTACAAATTGCATCAATCTTGTTTTTGAAATGATTTGCAATCTCGTAGCAGTGAGTGAGGTACTGGGTAGAGAAAGTAGAGTTAAAAGTAGAGAAGAGACGATGAGGACTGGATGACAAGGTATTAATAAAAGTGACAAAGTAGGCTTGTTTGGCAGCATGGAGGGAGGAATTGTATGTTAGGAAAGCAGATTTATATCGGGTGAATGCTTGCAGAGATTTGGTTTTATGACACAAACGCTCCAGTGCACAACTATGTCGCTTAAGATTTCTGGTGTCAGTCTGCTCGGTTGTAATGGTGGGGCCTGATACTTCATGTTGTTAGGGGAGCAAGTGAGTCTAGTGTGGATGAAAGCAAACTGTTGTATAAAGCAGTGGCCAGGTCACGGCTGGACAGGGGAGAGATTCTGTCATAGAGGCGGTCAGTTGCAGAGTGGAAAAGAGAAGGGGTAAAGTTGTGAAGGTTTCTGCAGGTAATTGCTGTTCAGAGGGATAGGTGTTTGAAGATGAGGACACTGAAGTGTGAAGAGAGAGGAAAGGGGGTGTTTGTGAGGTTGTAGGGAGTGCAAAGATGGGAGAAAACAAGGTCTGTAATCCCATCAGAGTGAGTGGAGGACCGTGTCCATTGTGTTAAGGTAAAAGATGAAATTGGGTTGAAGAGTTGGGATGTAGCCGGGTTGTTCACATTAATGGGGATGGTACAATCTCCAAGAATGATAGTATTTCAGAGAAGAGAAAGTAGGGTAGCCAGGCGGAGAAGTCATCAAGAAAGCAGGAAACCGGTCAAGATCGTCGATAGATCATTGCAATACTCAGAGAAATAGGAGAAAACAGCTGAAAGCAGAAAGTCTTAAAAGAGAAGCATAGAGAGGGAGGATTACGGAGGACTTGAAAGGTGCTCAGTGGGGATTGAAGCAAATTAACTCCACCATCTTTCCAACTACTGGGTCTGGGTGAGTGAGCTCAGAGAAGGCCTCCATAGGAAAGTGCTGCTGGAGAAGCAGAATCTTCTGCTTGGAGTCAGGTTTCTGTAATTGCTTGTAGGTTAAGGGAGTGGGAGACACAAAGGTCATGGACAGAGGTGAGCTTATTACAGACAGAGTGGGCATTCCAGAGTGCACATGGAAAAAGGGAGGGTGGTTTTTAGGAGCATGGGGATTGAGATTAAATGGAGTAGATTGCAGCTATTTCTGGAGGAAGGAGGGTGCCTGGTGTGGTGGGGAGATATCCCCAGAGGTTAGGAGAAGCAGGGTGAGGAAAGTAAGTTGGGAGCGGGATGTATATGAGGGCACAAGCCTTCCTGTCCTGGTGTTTGGGTCAGCTGGTGAGTAAAGTAAAGCAGGAGGAGATGAGAGCAGTAATAGGGAGATGGTAGCAGTGAGGGTGAGATGTATAAATCGAGGTGGAGAAGAGGGATAAAGAAAGGAGATTGAGAGCAAAGGATAGTAATATGAGGAATAGAGGTGGCATATTAAACAGGTACATGGAGTGGGAATCAGACTTGTAGACGTTTCTCAGGGTGTTTGCCTGCAGCCCATCCAGCGTGCAGTAGAGTTCTTCCTGCTGCTTTAGTTATCCTGTTGTGTTCAACTAAAAATGCCCTCACAGGACAGAGCCTGATCTGTGACTTCCCCCATAAAACTGGTCTATATTTATAGGGAGATGATCAAATGAACAACTCTTCTCCGCCCCAATTAGGAATTGATAAGGATCACACTAATTTTTTTTGGGGAGAGAATTATATAATCCAGACCAGACAGGCCAAAATCAAACTATGATGGATTCTCTGATCACAGAAAGGCAAAAAAAGAGGTGAGAATCAATCACCACAAATAGATATAGATTAATTATCCTGAGATTTGCAGAAAGGCAATGCATTGCAGGGAGACAGCAACATTTACCCCAATTTACTAGCTGCTGGTAACAAAACCACCCATGACGTCATTGATAAGGACATGGGGCCCCTGCACAGTATCCTTGCCTGCCCCTATCAGCAGTGAGGTCACATTAGCGGAGACAGAAACCCGGCAAGTGAGGGAGAACACAAACTATTTGCTTTGGAAGGAAAAAAAATCCCCCCCATGTACAGACGGCGCTGCGTTGTGTAAACCGGTTTGGTTCTTTACATGTTGTAATGGGCGCCTCCAGATTGCGCTGAATTGTAAAAGGCGCCATGAGGGGGAAAGGCGGAGAAGTCCCGGTACAGAGCTCTGTGTGGGGGAGGTTGTGGCTCTGAGAAGAGCCGTTGGTTGGCGGGTTGTGTGGAATGTCTGTTGCGGGGGGTCTAGGCCCTCTCTCCGCGGATGCGGCGTGCCAGCTGGATGTCTTTGGGCATGATGGTGACCCTCTTGGCGTGGATGGCGCAGAGGTTGGTGTCCTCGAAGAGTCCAACGAGATAAGCCTCTGCGGCCTCCTGCAGAGCCATGACGGCGGAGCTCTGGAAGCGCAGGTCGGTCTTGAAGTCCTGGGCGATCTCTCGGACGAGGCGCTGGAAGGGCAGCTTGCGGATGAGCAGCTCGGTGGATTTCTGGTAGCGGCGGATCTCTCGGAGAGCCACGGTGCCGGGCCTGTAGCGGTGAGGCTTCTTCACTCCGCCGGTGGCCGGGGCGCTCTTGCGGGCGGCTTTGGTGGCCAGCTGCTTGCGGGGAGCTTTCCCTCCGGTGGACTTACGGGCGGTCTGCTTGGTACGAGCCATTACTTCTCAGATCTGTGCTGGGAATGGGAACTAAAGCCGCTCTGCAGAGAGATTTATACACATCCTTGCTCTCTGATTGGAGAACTGCGTCACGCCCCTTTTAATGATTGGGTTACTTAAAAAGAGCGGGCTTTTCAAAAAGCCCGCCAGGATCTGCACGTTATCTGTGTAGGTAGAGAAGCCCGCTGTGTCAGGGTGGGGGAGGGGAGTCCTCCACATCATACAATGCTCGGAGCTCTCCTTACTACCAAAGAAGAGAAGATTAATCAGAGATCTGCTAATAATCAGAGATCAGAGACTCCCTGTACAATGTAACAATTACATCCACTGACATCGGACTGGATTCCTCCATAATACAGTGAATGGGATGACAGAAGATCCTCCTCCGATCTCACGGATCCGATGATTCCTCTGTTGGGGACTAAGAAGCAGAACGTTTGACGCCCATCTCGGTCCATCCAGCACAATTGTGGACTAAATAGGGACCAGTCAGAAGGGCTGCAATGTATTGTCTATAGAAGAGCGAGATGACAAGAGACATGACTTGTGTGCGGATCTGGGAGGAGATACAATGTGATTTCTGCCTTTTCTCTCCGAATCCACTTCCAAGGACAATCCGATCCCGGCGAGGACAGTGTGGACTTTGATGGCACAATGACAATCTATCGCTGAGGATGTGAGGAGGCGGACATCTAGTCTGCAGCAATTCATCCCATTCATTTTACAGTTAGGAGTTTATTTGTAACAAATATTTTATGTGTCTTATATTTTAAGATGTTTTTTTTTTTTTTCCCGCCAAGATCTGCAGGTTCTTTGTTAGTAGAATATCCCGATCTCTCCGGGAGCTCCTTACTGCCAGATGAGAAAACATTGATAAGAAAGATGTTTATAAATAAAAATTAGAACTTCTTATCAATGTAAGAATTGTAAAACCCCGAGAGAGGACTATTTCTGTCCATAATTCAGTAAATTAGATGACAAAGTAAATGGGGGGGGATTAATCGGCCCAATGTATCCCCCCCCCCCCATTAATGATAACCGTATTACAATTTATAACCTCCACTTTCCATTCTGTGTATTAATCTGATGCACCTGAAATTCACCTAATGCGCTAATGGGAAAGTATAGATACATATAGATACACACTATATTACCAGTAGTATTGGGCCGGCCCTCCATATCATTGGGTTCCGGTGTTCCCATCAAGCCCCGAGGCATGCAGACCGCTTTCACGAACATTTGTGAAAGAACGGAACGCTGATAGCTAATGGGGACAAAATCTCTGCCTTCTGTCCGGGGATCGGGGAAGATCTACAATGCGGGTTGTTTCTGGATCCACTAGTAGACAATATTCTGTACAAATGAAATCCTCCAAATGGAACAATCAGGAATTCCACAATAAATGGGATCTGGAAAGGCTGGCTGGTATTCTGATAGCGAGAAGAAATCTAGAAACCCCGTGTAAGTGTGACGTGTGGGGGGGGGGGACCTCTAGCGGCAATACCAATGTGATGACAGCTCAGTGATTGGAATGGTGGGCGCTCTTAGAAGAGACTTTGTGTCCTTGTTGGGATGATGGGGGCCCCCGGGGGCGGGGGGATTACTTGGCGCTAGTGTACTTGGTGACGGCCTTGGTGCCCTCGGAGACGGCGTGCTTGGCCAGCTCTCCGGGCAGGAGGAGGCGGACGGCGGTCTGGATCTCCCGGGAGGTGATGGTGGAGCGCTTGTTGTAATGAGCCAGGCGGGAAGCTTCGCCGGCGATGCGCTCGAAGATGTCATTGACGAAGGAGTTCATGATGCCATGGCCTTGGACGAGATGCCGGTGTCGGGGTGGACCTGCTTGAGCACCTTGTACACGTAGATGGCATAACTCTCCTTCCTAGTCTTCCTCCGCTTCTTGCCGTCCTTCTTCTGGCTCTTAGTCACGGCTTTCTTGGAGCCCTTCTTTGGGCGCCGGCGCAGACTTGGCTGGTTCAGGCATGATAACAGGGGTTCACCACTGCTTGGCTGGCTGAGGAGAAAATGTGCTGGAGCCGCCCTCATGTGCTACTTTTATAGGCGGCCTATGCAAATGAGTCTCATCCCCTCCTCACTCTTCTATTGGAGGAATAAGTCATGTGATTGGAATGTGACGTCATGCTTTATTTTCTCTAGTACAGATTGGAAGGGAAACGAGTCTTACCTCTATTGGCTGAATTCAAAAGCAACCAATCGCAGAGTGTGACGTCAGAGCATGGAGTGTATAAAGGAGAGGAAGCGGCTGCTGGTGCCTATCTGTGTGTGAGATTCGTCAGTCATCCAATCATGTCTGGTCGCGGCAAACAAGGAGGCAAGACTCGGGCTAAGGCCAAGACCCGATTCGTCCCGGGCTGGTCTGCAGTTCCCCGTCGGTCGTGTTCACCGTCTGCTCCGGAAGGGCAACTATGCCGAGCGGGTCGGGGCCGGAGCTCCCGTCTATCTGGCCGCCGTCCTGGAGTATCTGACGGCTGAGATCCTGGAGCTGGCCGGCAACGCCGCCCGAGACAACAAGAAGACCCGCATCATCCCCCGACACCTCCAGCTGGCTGTCCGCAACGACGAGGAGCTCAACAAGCTGCTGGGCGGCGTCACCATCGCCCAGGGAGGAGTCCTGCCCAACATCCAGGCCGTGCTGCTGCCCAAGAAGACCGAGAGCCACAAGGCCGCCAAGAGCAAGTAATCCCCCCACAGGATTCCCTTCTATCCGCCAACACAACGGCTCTTCTCAGAGCCCCCCCACATCTCCATACAAAGGGCGGACATACGGCTTCTATGGACACCAATCCCACAATCCTCTCTATCTCCCGCTTCTATGGGATTCTCGGGGAGAAGTCGGAGATCCTTTTTGCTTATGTTGTCGCAAGATAAAATAACGGCTTTTATTTATAAATATAATTTACGGTACAAAAACGTTATAAACTTTTTTATAGGTATAAAACATAATAGAAAATGCTTTCAGTGTGAGACTCTGGGGAAATGACATCTTATTCCAGGGACGGATCTTATCCGCCTTCCTTTAGTTGTGATGAGATTTCTCCTGAAGATCAGAGAATCGTTCAATATATACCGAACAACGATCCTCACCTCCTTCCGACTGAGTGGAACAGATCTCTTCAAACTCCCGAGTAGAGAAACGTTTTATCTGTCTGTAGAGAAGGAATCGCCCAGAACAACTGTCCGTTAGAGAAACGGCTCACTGTCCGTTTCTACTTTCTACTTCATCTTTCCCGCCGGAATTCTATGGACCGTTACAGACAATCTGCATCCATTGACCGTTTTATCCGGGAAGATCGATCAATCCTTCCATTCATTCCAGGCTCTGCGAGTTCCGGAACATCAAGTTCATTGCAATGTTTTCTTTCCCTCCCAGAATAAAAAGATCCGGATACATTTTTATGGATTCCTCGTAAGGAAAACATTACTGGCTGATGAAGGAACCGCCCACAGCTGTGATTGGCTCATATTTTAAATTTCTGTCATCAAAGTTTGACCGCCGGAATTGTGTTGATCGTTACATATATCCCGCCCGATTATACCGCCAAATCCGAGCCAGAGAACAAAAGAGATCATCAGATGTAAGTGATGAGTCTGGAGATGGATTCCATATTTACCGAATCATGTAACACATTGTGAATACAAGTATTGTAGATTTCATGATCACATCTGTATACGATCATGTCACTGATCGATATTTATGTGTCCCTCCTTCAGACATGTAGCCGTTACAGATTCCCCCCCCCCATATCACATCCAGAATATTCATACAAACAAATGTGAAAATGACTGGTAGAAATAAGGAGACTGCCAGGAGAAATACGGACAATGTATCCAGAGAGAACATATGACATGTCTGAGGAACCAAATCGTTTTCCTCCTCCAAATCCGTCACTAAAAATCATCCAAAGGGTCCAAATAAATGAAGTTCTCTTCGGAGGAATGAATGGCTGTGACCCCGCCCCTTTCCATCAGTCTCCCTTCAGGTCCGCTCGGAATTATAAAGAGGAACGTGGGGCATCGGTATAAATGTTTGTGTTGTTTTATTTCCAAGTCATATTTCTCAATATTAAATTGCTGCTAACAATAGTAACTGGTGATGATGGTTTGTGTGTTCTGAAATGTGAAAGATGAATGTTTCTGTGTAATCTCCGAGGAAGAAATAGAAAACCATTGAAAAGAATGAAGAGATTCTCTCCTGGAGATGGATTTCTATTATCATTAAAGGGATCTGAAAAGGGCGGAACGTGGAGAAAGCTTCCAAATGAATCCAATTGTATTTTGTGTAAAGAATGGGTGTGACTCCGCCTCTTCCCAGGCAGGTTCCCATCAGGTCCGCTCAGGCTGTATAAAAGGAAGGCGGGCCCAGCCCAGAGCTCAGTCGGTGTTTGCAGCAGAGAAGAATCGTCATGTCTGGTCGCGGTAAAGGAGGGAAGGGTCTGGGGAAAGGCGGCGCCAAGCGCCACAGAAAGGTGCTCCGGGACAACATCCAGGGCATCACCAAACCCGCCATCCGACGTTTGGCCCGCAGAGGGGGAGTCAAGCGCATCTCCGGCCTCATCTATGAGGAGACCCGCGGAGTGCTGAAAGTCTTCCTGGAGAACGTCATCCGCGATGCCGTCACCTACACCGAGCACGCCAAGAGGAAGACCGTCACCGCCATGGATGTCGTCTATGCTCTCAAACGGCAGGGACGCACCCTCTACGGATTCGGAGGATAAATCCTCATAACCCCCCCCCCCTTCATCGTCACAAAGGCCCTTCTCAGGGCCGCCCACCTTCTCATACAAAGGGCTGTCTATAGGAATCTGTTTCTCCTGTAGGTATACGGATGTCTAGTAGTTGTAAAGTCTGGGAAAGGAAGATGGTTTTTAGCTGGTCATACACGATACAATCTATACAATTCTTTAAATGTAATAAAACGTACTTGTCATGAGACTCCTAAAATATGTCGATGTGTTTATATTCTTAGATATCGTTAGCTCTTGTTTTTTTTTTAATGTTGAGTCACAGAAAAACTCTGCTCAATGAAATTCTGTGAGACCGATCGCAGTGTTGTGTCGCTCTCCTCTTTCCTCGGGCAATCTGGGGACCTCCAGGGGCCCCCCAGGTGATGGAGGGCAGCTTTGTAGTTACAAACCTTCATCCCGATCTCCAATGTTTCCTGTTCACATTACTAATACATTCTGTCTAACCTTACAGACAAGTGGACGTTTGTATCAGGGATTATGGTTTAGGTTTCATTTGTTTTGTGTTTTGTTTTTTCTTAAAATGTTACTAAACCCACAACACTACAATCAGTCTGTAGATGCAGTAAAGCATGCTTGTTATACTCACTGTGGAACTAAGGGGTTAATCCTCTGCATTGTGTAAAAAGCTGTTTGATCCTGTCTTCTCTATTCCATCCTTTTCAAGTGACCACTTATTTCCAGACTGAACCGTAGACATTCACATGCTCCATTTAGTGTGTATTGCTAGAGATTTTTTTTTTTTTCTTGAGGGAGTGCATGTGATCAGCACAAAGTCAATCAGCACTGTCCACACAGAGATTAGGGGTTCTGCATCCTCCTAGAGCAGAAAGAAAACTCCTCCTACAAGCTTTATCCTAGTGGTGGGCTTGACACTGATAGTCACAAAACTGCTCTAACTGCTGATGAGAAAAGGTATTTAGCAGTTTATATTTACTAAAATAATTGCATTTCCATGTTGTGTGTACTGTAGGAGACCAGATATAGTGAATGCAGGGTCCAGGGAGACCATATATAGTGAATGCAGGGTCCAGGGAGACCATATATAGTGAATGCAGGGTCCAGAGAGAGCGGATATAGTGAATGCAGGGTCCAGAGAGAGCGGATATAGTGAATGCAGGGTCCGGAGAGAGAGGATATAGTGAATGAGGGGTCAAGGGAGAGCGGATATAGTGAATGCCGGGTCTGGGGAGAGCGGATACAGTGAATGCAGGTTCCGGCAAGACCAGATATTGTGAATGCGGGGTCCGGGGAGAGCAGATATAATGAATGCGGGGTCCAGGGAGAGCAGATATAGTGAATGCAACGTTCAGGGAGAGCGGATATAGTGAATGAAGGGTCAAGCGAGACCGGATATAGTGAATGCAGGGTCCGGGGAGACCGGATATAGTGAATGCAGGGTCTGGGGAGAATGGATATAATGAATGCAGGGTCCGGGGAGACCAGATATAGTGAATTTGGGGTCCTGGGTTTAGTAACACTTTAATAGTTAGAATACAAATATATATATATATTATATATATATATATATATATATATATATATATATATTTTTTTAGCCTGGAAAACATTGTACCAGCATTTATCAGATCTCTTGTGCCATGCAGATCTCCTGCACACTGTCAGTGTATCTGTGTGCCTGTACATCCCCCTTGAGAATGCCGTCTGACAGGAAGCCTCAATGAACAACTTCAGAGCTCTCCACTGAGAACTACAAGCCAACATCTGAAAAGGCTGTTGGGACTTGTAGTTCATTAATTCACAGAACTCTGTGAATGAATGATGTGGCCATGTGGGTGGAGCCCTGCACAGCCACGCTGTTTTCAAAAACTGACAGCTGGTATTGGGGAAACCTCTCCTCCTACTGCTGTGCCAGGGAAGGTGGGGGCAGTCACTGCAGTGGGAACTTGTTACATGTTCCACCCTAAAAACAAGTAACTGTTCCCAAAGGTGAACTTATCCTTTATTAATGATTTCCTGAAAGGCGATGTTATACCCATGTTTGTCCACAGGATGGAG